CCTCCGGATTCGGGAAGCCAGGCCTAAAGGAGCCAGGAAAAAGTAGAAGAGCTAGCTGTGTGCACAGCTTAGAATTTTGTAAACTGATATTATGGCAGTAGTGTGTTATTATGCATTAATGCTTAACATCACACTACTGCATACACCCGTGTTGCCCTGGTGGCATGGGAGGGTGGAAAACAAATAAATAAAAAAGAAGAGGTCTGCAGGGAAGATCAGATACGTCTGGTTCCAATACGGGCAAAGTGAAATTGACAAGATGACAGCCAGCAGGTTGTCGTGATTAACTCGCCATCGGACCTGAACATATTCGCATGACATGTTTCATTGCTCTGCACACTTTAGTTTTCATTTCTGTTTTTGCCCTTTTTTATTTTTATTTCCAAGATTGCAATTTTGTTGTTTTTTATTTAATAAATTTTGATAATAATTTTATGCTGTTTTATAAAAACAGTTTAGTTTTATTCTTTTCCAAGTTTTATTTATACATTTTAATTTACGTAAATATTGTTTTTTTTTTTCAATATAGAGGTAGACCTTTCGTTTACTAAATTGTATATTTTCTACTTTTCAACTTTAATGATATCTAGAAAATTAGTATTCTTTATTTATTGTTTAGTATAATTTATTATTATACTTATAATTCTTCTAAATAGAGGTTTCATCAACAATTGTGTACTCTGAGTTCATACTAGCTCCAACCACTAAAATAATATTCCTACCCCACGCCCTTCCAGTCTGTTAACCTCCTTCTCCCATCACTAACATCCTTTTAACCTGCCACGTCAACGCTCAGTCACTCCTAGTCCATTTTGATGAATTTTATGATTTCTTCCTCTACAACTTCTACCATATAATCGCAGTTTCTGAAACCTGGTTAAAGCCTTCTATTCCGTCTTCCCAAATTACTTTACCCAACTATACCCTCCTTCGTCATGACAGAGTGGATCGCATAGATGGTGCAGATCTCTTTGTTCATGACAGTCTTAAACTCAAAATCCTCCATTACTCTTCCCATACCGATTCTCCACACCTAGAATATCTTTTTACTGAAATCCTCATCCCCCCTTCTCTTCGCAGTCATTTATCGCCCTCCCAGAATTCCCTTTGATGAATTATTTGAGACTTCCTTCTACAACTTGACCCCTTCCTACTCCAATATTATCCTCTCCGGAGACTGCAATGCCAATTTAATAATACCATCTTCTGACTATTCCTACCTGACCAGCCTCCTCCAATCCCTCAGCCTTTATATAGTACCCTACAATCCTACCCAGTTCTCAGAGTCCTGGCTTGCTCTGAGTTATCTTGGATTCCCTGAATACTCTTCGTAGCATCTCAGCACCCGGTTCCGTTTCTGTCTTCCCATGATCTTATCCAGATTTGCTACAATATCCCGGTCCCATTTTTTTTCCCATATCCTTCCGAAACCTCAATTCCCTCACCTATGAAGCCCTGTCGCAGGATCTCGACGCTACCCAGTGGGAACCCATTTATTCCTTAAAATCCATCTCCTTATCCAACACCTTAAACTCCAAGGCAAGTGGGCTATCCTAAAAAAACTGACCATTTGTAACATACCTCAAACCCAGCTCATTTCCATTTCTGCTGATGACCTTTACGCTCACTTTGTCTCATGTCCCTTCTCATCCTCATCTCCTGCGACCATACCGGCTCCTATGTATTTATCTATTAATTTTAATCCTGATCACTTCTTTTTTTCCCATATTACAACTTATGACCTCCTCTTCTCCATTCACAAGTCGCAAATCAATGATTAAGGACCCGATAACATTCCAGTCAGACTGATCAAAGCCTCACGACCACCCATCCTTCCAATCCTGTACCCATCAACCTTTAATGATTTCCGTCCAATTTCTCTCCTCTCAAACCTTTCCAAAACTTTAAAGCGACTAGTTCAATCCCAGATATCCGACTTTTTAGAACAGAATAACCTCCTAAATCCCAACCAGTCCAGTTTCCGGCCAAGCTACTCAACTCAACCAGCCATGAATCAGTAGAAACTCACCATTCTTATTCTCCTTCTCCAAAGCCTTTGATTGAATCAGCAGACCACAAAATTCTCCTAACCAAGCCTAAAAATATCTCCTTTTCAACTAGTACTCTTAATTGGTTCCAATCCTTCCTTACTGGCCGCTCCCAATATGTTGTAGTCCCCAATAACCTCCGATCAGAATCTTTACCCTTGTCCAGAGGTGTTCCAGAAGGTTCTTCCTTATCTCCCACCATTTTTTCCATCGACATCAATGACTTTCCATCCTCTATCCTACACTGTCAAGAACATCTGTATGCCGACCTCTCCGATTTACCTCTCCTTCAATCCGACCGAATCATCAGACGCCATCCAAAAATTACAGGAAGATATAAACGGAATTCGTGCCTGACCAAAGCACAATAGGATTACTCTAAACGCCAAGAAGACGAAAGCCATCCTGATCGGATCTCCCTCAATGCTCAAATCCTTACAGATACTCCCCAATCTTTTCCTGAACTACTTTTCCGTAAAAAACCTTGGTGTTACCTTTGATTAAACCCTCTCTTGGAAACCACAATCTCCCAAATTTCCTGTCGTACTATCTCTATCCTGAAACAGTTTAACCGTATCCGCTATCTCCTTCCATATAAATCCCGTCAACTCCTGGTTTCCTCCCTGGTGTTCCCTCACTTCGACTATGGCTGTCTGGTGTACGGCGGACACTCGGGAGAATTCGAGACCAAACTTAAACGCCTAATGAACTGCGCAATACGTTTTGTTTCCGGAATCTCAAGAGATACGCATATAATCCAGTATTACACCAAGTTGAAGAGGCTCTATCCATCCAACCGCCGTCTGTACTTCCTTGCTACCTTGCTATACTAAGCCATCAGAACTCAGCGACATTCCTATATTTTTCACAGCCTACAATTTAAATATTCCATTCAATCCCGTCCCACTAGATCTGTACTTCCGACCTCTATCCACCTTCTCATCAAACTGCTGCGTTTGAGAAATCCTTTATAATTTAAACCGCCTCCTTCTGGAATACCATATCTCTCGATATCCGACATGTACAATTAGCTTCTTCATTTAAATCTCTCCTTTCCCAACTCGAGTGATCATGAAATGTAGATAAGAGAACTTTTTAAAGTTCCCCAGAAATTATTTTGTTTACTTATGTTATTTTATTTTTCCCATGTTTGTATTATATATATCTGTATGTTTTTAATATTATTATTGTTTTCCAATATTTTAATTTTAATGAGAATTGTAAATATTTAATTTAGTATATGGCCATACATGCATTTTTTCTGCATCTATAACTTGTCCTAAAGGGACAACAGTCCCAGGATAATAAAAAAAATATTTTCATTTTCAAAAAATAGTGAACTACTTATCAGAAACGAATTTTATACGTACCAGCTTAGACAGAAGAGATCGTTACGAGTAGTGATAAGAAATTTGCACTCCTCAACGCTAACTGAAGTGATTACAGAAGAACTAACGACGCTTGGTTTCAATTTACTTCAGGTAATTAACGTCTTAAAGAAGAACAAGGAATAGTCAGGGTTAAGGAATAAAATACCTCTACCACTGTTTTTCGTAGACTTGGAGCCATCACTAGGTATCGAAAAAATATACGATATTACAAGATTATATTACACAATGGTGATAGTAGAGAAACCATACCCAAGAGAGAAATCATGCTGTGCCATAATTATTAGGCGTACGGGCACACGAAGATTTATTGTCACCATCTGTCGCGTTGCGTGAAATGCTGTGAACAGCACAAATCTGTGGAGTGCACCAAACTGATACAAGATCCTGCAGTGTATGCAATATGGTTGGAGGGACGGCCAACTGCAAAGGCTGCCAAATTTACAAGAATCTCAAATCCACACACCAGAAAAACCGGATTCAAGATAAAACAGTAAGACCAAGAAGAGAGAGAGAACCTTCTAGAATAGTGAACATTAGTGTATAATTTTCACAGCTACTTAGAGGTAAGAACTCAACCGATAAATGTCAAGCCTTAAACAACCTCAAAATCCTATTGATCCTAATATACCTAACCATCAACAACATTCATCATATCCCTCCTTCAAATGCAACAGATCTCAGCAGTTTGTTAGCATCTTTCTTCACCGATTTCAAATCCCTAGTTACTCCACTCATACCACTCCTCACAAATCTCGTATCTCACCTCATCCCTCCTTTAAAAAATCCTTAATGACTCACATCCCAAAACCCATATCTATTCTCCTTTGGAATGTGAATGGTGCTAGAAATCAGGTTGCCGTAGCACTAATTACGGAAACTCGACTGACCAGAAAACAGCATTTAAATATACCTCAATAAATAACATATCGTACTGACCATCCTGACGGTAGACCACATGCCAGTACTGCTGTTATTGTACATCGACTCCTTTCTCATCACCAGCTCCCATTAGTGACTCAAGATTTCCTACAATCTACTGCCATCGCAATCAAAACCTTCTCCTTTCTCGTCACCATAGCATCGGCATATTGCTCTTCTAACAGATTCGTATCCAATGTCCAGTTCAGTTCTCTCAACTCCTTAGGAAGTCCGATCTTTAATTATATATTACAAAAATGTTGAAAATTAAATAATGATGCACAGGTTTTTAGAATCCATTTGAGTGTTTTTTGTAAGAATTAATATTAATATTGCATTTGCTAATGTAGGATTAAAAAAAACCTAACTATAAAAATAAATCTATTTCCTGGTTGTGTATTGGTACACAAATATTTAATTTTAGATTGGATGACACCTATACCCCACAATGTTGAGGAATTAAGCATTACCAAATCAACAGAATTGTATGTCGCTTTATAAAGAAAATATTTTATCCGCCACAGTACATTTCAGGGTACATGATTCATTTGGAAACATAAATATAACTGCTGTTTTTATTTACATTATAAAAATATCATATATACAGTGTTACAAATTATTTAATGTATGATCGTATTTATTGATTTAACATTTTTATCTGAAAATTCTTATAGTTATAACTCTAAAAGTACAATTATTCCAATCCCTTTATTGTGTTAGAGTATTATTGTTTATGAAAAAAAAACATGCATATACAGGACACGATAAGTATTCTGCACTGCGATTTCCTTGGGATTATTCTGCTTAGAACTATGATTTAGAATAAATGATAAGCTTATTTCAATCTCATTTATTCTCTCCATGACATCAAGTTCACGACTGAATTTCATCATGAGAATCATTTTTAAAATAATCAATCATTTCTTATAAAACCAATGGTCATCTCTTATCTGTCTTCAAAAGGAAATCAAATTTTTCAATAAAATACAATACACAAAACATCACAATTAGTGTCCCATTTTAGGATTTTATCCCACTATCTCATGTGTCATTATGTGTCTTTTTAACTGTTGAAATGTAACAGATTTATAATCACAGTGGAAACAGTGATAAAGCTTCTCCCCTGTATGATAGGCCCCTAAATGTTTTTTCAACTGAGGAGATGAAACAAATTTCATATCACAATGAGGACAGTAATGACGTTTCTTCTGACCTGTGTGATGGGACAATATATGTCTTTTCACACTTCCCTTATGGACTGTTTTAAAGTCGCAATAAGGACAGTGATGAGGCCTCTCACCTGTGTGAGAGGCCATTATATGTCTTTTCAAATTTTGAGAAGTTGCAGATTTAAAGTGACAGTGGGGACACTGGTGAGGCTTCTCATCGCTGTGGCAGGCTAATATATGCAGTTTCAAAGAGTGAAGTTTAACTGATTTATAGCTACACTGAAGACAGTGGTGAGGCTTTTCTCCTGTGTGATGAACTATTATATGTGTTTTCAAATTATTAGAAGTAGCAGATTTGTAATCACAGTGAGGGCAGTGATGAGGCTTCTCACCTGAGTGACGAATCAATATATGTTTTTTCAACTGCTGAAATACACCTGACTTATAATCACAGTGAAAACAATGATAAGGCTTCTCAACTGAATGACAGTACATTGCATGACTTTTCAACTGGTTTGTTGTAACAAATTTCTTATCACAATGATAACAATGATAAGGTTTCTCACCTGTATGTTGGGTCATTATATGTATTTCCAGTGGCTGAGAAGTAATAAATTTCCTATCACAGTGAGAGCAGTGATAAGGTTTCTCACCTGTATGATAGGCCATCATATGTCTTTTCAAACTTGCTTTATGAACTGATTGAAAGTTACATTGAGAACAGCGATGAGGCTTCTCTCCTGTGTGACGGGCCATTATGTGCCTCTTCAAATGATCTGCATAAAACGATTTAAAGTCACATATGGGACATTGGTGATGCTTCTCATCGCTGTGGCAGGCTGATAAATGTATTTTCAACATGTTAACAGTTTTAGATTTATAATCACAGTGAAAACAGTGATAAGGCTTCTCACCTACATGATAGGCCCCTAAATGTTTTTTCAACTGAGGAGATGCAGCAAATTTCATATCACAATGAGGACAGTAATGGGGCTTCTTCTGACCTGTGTGATGGGACAATACATGTCTTTTCACACTTCCATTATGAAATGTTTTAAAGTCACAATAAGGACAGTGATGGGGCTTCTCATCTGTGTGACGGGCCTTTATATGTTTATTTAAACTATGATAAGAAGCAGTTTTAAAGTCACACTGAGGACAGTGGTGGGGCTTCTCATCTGTGTGACGGGTCATTATATGTTTTTTCACACTTTTACTATAAACTGATTTAAAGTCGCAATGAGGACAGTGATGAGGCTTCTCTCCTGTATGATGGACCATTATATGTTTTTTCAACTGATTAGAAGTAGCAGATTTATAATCACATTGAGGACATTGATGAGGCTTCTCACCAGTGTGACGGGTTTTTATATGACTTTTTAAATTTCCAAAATATAATGATTTAAAGTCACAGTGAGGACAGAGAAAAGGCTTCTCACCTTCATGTTGTATCATTATATGTTTTTTCATATTTATATGTTGTGCTGATTTATAATTACAGAGATGACATTGAAGAGGCCTCTCACCAGTGTGATGAATCTTTGTATTGTTTTTAAAATCATGAGGTGTGGATTCTTCTGGTTTACTATCATTGGTACCTGTAAGCAATATATTATCACACTCAAATTAAAATAAAATTAATCGTTTGAAGTAAATTAAATATATTAATTTGTTAATAATTTAAAAATGATTATTACAAATATTTATAACATTATTATCTTAAAATTAGGACATTGATGAGACTTCTCATCTATAAGGCGAGCCATTATATATACTTTTCAAATCTTGAATTTTAACAGATTTATAATCACATTAAGATCAGTGATGAGGCTTCTCACGTGTGTGGGCTTATCATATGTCTTTCCGGTCGATGAAATAGAGTTTATCATTATTGAAACAACTTAAAGAGGACTTCTGAGCGGCTATACTAACTTAAGTTTTATTTTTTAAAAAATCATAAATTATTTGGGTTTTTTTTTTGTCATCCTCCAACTACACGATAGATACCCCACTTTTAGAAAAACTTCCTTGTTTAATAAACTTTTAAGTCCATATTAATTAGGTTGAGGTTTATTAATGAGATTCACTTCAAGTTGTGTAAAAAAATGTGGTTTTATATCCCATCACCTAAAAGTACCGTATTTTAAATAAAAATGACTACAATAAATTATTGCAAAGCTTTTATTTCTTGTTTTTCCATGACCTGGGATTTAATGTAATAAACATAATTGACTAAATACATTTTTTATGGTCAAATAAAATGTTAAAAATTATGATTGAAACCTTAAATATTAGGATCAGGAACAGTTAGTTCATCACTTATAAAGACGGATGAATTCATACAATAGAGATTTGAATGAAAAACATAGTTTGAAAATCATAATCACTTTACATAAAAAATACTTGAAAAATCATAATTTTGACTTTTTTTTAATAAATAAAAAGTGTATTTAGGCCATTATGTTTATTATAACACCTTCCCCCCCCCCAGATCACAGAAAAAAAATAAAGAAATCAAAGCCTTGCAATAATTTATACTAGCCATATTTGCTGAAAACATGGGTACTTTTAGATGACAGGATATCAAAAAACCTCATTTTTTTAGACAACTTGAAGTGAATCTCAACTTTTCGTAATAAATCCTCAATAATAAATCAACTTAATTAATATGGACTTAAACCTTATTAAATGAAGATTTTAAAATAGGGGTGTCTGTACTATATTTGGAGGGTGATAAAGAAAATTTGCGAATAATTCATAATTTTTTTTAAAACAGGGCTTAGCTTAGTTTATCTGCTAAGTCCTCTTTAAATGGTTTTAATATATTGACATGGATATAAAAGTCAGAAGTAATTGTTATTAGCCTAAACCTAAGACAAATTCCTCTATGATATAAAAAAGTTTTTAAGTGATTGTGTCATATTTTATTTTACATACATAAAGCGAGATGGGCCATAACGAAGACAAAACACTTCTTATTCTCAGAATTATTTCTTCCTTATTATGGTTACAAATTGGCAAAACGATAATATAATGATATAAATTGGCAATAAGGCAGGATTTAGAATATAGATTTTTAAAGAAATTAAATATTTGTCCGAACTGGGGTTTCGTTTCAATAAAATAAACATTTTATGATTATAGTGCCTGAACTACAGAATAGTAAAATTTAATGAGCAGTAATATAGTTTGTAAAATGGAGGTTGGTCTCCTAGTTTTCATGAAAATTAGTTTCTTCTTAGTGCGCTACCACATATGTAACCAGCCAAGTGAAGAATATTGTAGCATCCAGCAGCGGTCATGTTTTGGTTCCTAAATACATCCTTTCCATTAATTAATTCCATTAAGAAATAAATCGTTATTTCCTCCAAAAAAATCTTTTATTACAAAATAATAAGGCAAAGGTAAATCCAAAAATACTTGTATGTAGAGTTGATAAATACATTTTGAACTTTCTTCGTGTAACAGATTTATAATCAAAGTGAAAAGGCTTCTAATCTATATGAAGAACTGATATATATTTTCTACTCCGGATAATGTAACACATTTATAATCACAATGAGAAATGTAGAGAGACTTCGCATCTGTATCGTGGCCCATTATATGACACTAAGGTCTTTATATTTTCTGGAAATTAGTTCTCAAGCTAGTGCCAGTAGTAGAGAGGCCTTGATGGCTGACAAATTGAAAGTACTGCCCCTTAAACATTCTTGAGTCTAGGGGCATTGGTTTGAATCCAGTCTAGGAGGGTTGAATCTCAACCTTCCCACCCTGCTTAAAATAGATTTGGTTATACCCCTAGAACAAACCATCTCGTATGCCAAAAATGGCAAGATAGATAACAAAAACAGAAGTAAACCTTTACTATTCGGGAGTGTAGACTATAGATAAAGCAAAATTAGTCTGGAACGACTCGAAGAAATGTGGTTTCAAGATTTTTTTTTTTTTTACTTCGACCTAAGGAGGTAACATAGATGGGACACACTTTCTCTTATTGATAAAACTAGACTGAAATAATGAGAAGCAAAATTGGCATTAATTTATAAAAAAAAATTTTTATAACTAATTCATGAGAAGGAATTAGTCGAGGGTGCGGTCAAAAAATAAAAAAAATTAAAATATATAAATAATTTTAATTTTTGCCGACGTTTCGACCCATTTTGCAGGTCGTCTTCAGGGCGTTGGATGTGGCACTGCGGGAGGCGGTTGAAACACTGCCTTATAACTAATTCAATTTGATTCAGGGTCAGAAAATCTTCTGAAAACCTGTCTTCTGAGAACAGACAGGTATATTCTTGTCACAACAGATTGTGTTTGATACTTTATGCCTTCTTCAAAGAAGATTGAGGTAATTAACAAGGTTTTAGAACAACAGAAAATGTTTGATCTATACCAATTATTTACTTTTGGTGAATGAGGTGTTTTAAGAAAAAAAAATTTTTTTTCTTCTAAAAGGATCTTTATTACAAAACAACACGTCAAAGATAAAACCAAAAATAATACCTCCATCCCTCCAAGAAGAGCTGATAGAGGTATTTTCAACTGTCAACGTGTAACAGACTCTCCCCCAGTACAATTTTTCATATTTCTAGATTTTATAATTTATAATTACAGTATAAATATTAAGAAAGTTCTGATTAGTATGATGGGCCATTATATGTGTTTCCAACTTATGAGGTGTCACAGATTTATAATCACAGCGAGGACAGCGACTGCTTTTCACCAGTGGGCCATTATATGATCTTTCAGTTGAGTATGCTGAACACATTTATAGTTACATTGAGGGCATTAGATTAGACTTCTCACCAGTATGATGGGCCAAAACATGTCTTTTCAATTCACAAGTAGTAACAGATTTATAATCACAGTGAGGACAAATATGAGGCTTCTCACCAGTATGACGGGCCATTATATGTCTTTTCACACTTGTATTAAGAGCTGATTTAAAGTTACATTGAGGACAGCTATGAGGTTTTTCACCTGTGTGACGGGCTACTATATGTTTTTTCAAATTACTAGATGTAACAGATTTATAACCACAGTAAGGACATTGATGAGGTTTCTCACCTGTGTGACGGTACATTATATGTCTTTTCAATTCAAGAGGTGTAACAGATTTATAATCACAGTGAGGACAGTTATGAGGCTTTTCAACTATGTGGCGGTACATTATATGTCTTTTCAAATTACAAGAAGTAGTAGATTTATAATTACAATGAGGACATTGATGATGCTTCTCGTTAGTGTGACGGATCTTGTCAACTGTATAACAGGCCTTTATATGAGATTTTAACAGACGATTTGTTACAAATTTAAAGTTACAATGAGGACATTGATAAGGCTTCTCATCCATGTGGTGGCTCGTTATATGTACTTTTAGGCAATGATGTGAAGCACATTTAAAATCACAATGATGACATTGATAAGAATCCTCATCTTTATGATAACTGTCCTTGGCACCTGTAAGCAATAGACTATCATACTCAAAAATAAAATAAAACCGATAACTTTTTACTATTTTGTAACTCAAATATTTCTAATACGAATTAGTGATTAATCTGATAAGTACTTGTAAGTTCATAATACAATGATAATTATATCAAAGTCAGGATATTTCTCTTTTAAAAAACACGCACTATTGGCTAAATAAAAAAGCAGCTTTATTCCAAGCTGTTGCTAGATGGACACTAATAAAATAAAACTAGATAAAATAAAAATAATTAAATTCTAAATGCTGCTTAAGGCAATATCTGATACCTGTTTATTTTCAGAAGATAAGCATCAAAGACAACTCAAGTTGAGCTCTATTAATTTACTTTTGTGATACATTATTGATAACAAGCAATTCCACGAAAAATATTTCAAAAATATTATAAAACTTAAACTCAAAAAAGATTTTTTTTTACTTCGACATAAGGAGGTAATAGATTGACGCACTTCCTCCTATTTATAAAGACTGAGATAATGAGCAGCAAAATTGGCATTAATTTATAAGTTTTTTTTTTTGATAACAAGCAGTTCAACTTTGTTCAGCGTCAGAAAATGTCTTCGGAGAGCAGAAAAGTATATTTTTGTCACAACTGATTGCGCTTGGTACTTTATGTTTACTTCGAAAACGGAGGAAGAGAGTTATTGGAAATAATAAAGGTTAGAACCACAGAAAATGATTGATCTTAAACAAATAATTAACTTTTAGTGAATATGAGGAGTTTTAAGAAAACAATGCTTTTTGCTGTTAAAAGGATCTTTATTTAAAAATGAGAAGTCAAAAGTAAATCTAAAAATACCTCCACCCCTCCATGAAAGGCCGATAAATGTATTTATCAACTCTAGTTCAACGATGAGGGTTCTAAGCAGTATGATGGGCTATTTATGAGTTATTATATGTTCTTTCAACCCTCGACGTGTAACACACTTATAGTCACATTGAGGACATTGATAAGGCTTCTCACATGTATGACGGGTTAATATATGTTCTTTTAACGCTCGACGTGTAACACACTTATAGTCACACTGAGGACATTGATGAGGCTTCTCACATGTATGACGGGCTATTATATGTTCTTTTAACCTTTGACGTTTATCAGATTTATAATCA